GTCATTGAAACGTCATTATGTGGTGCGTGACTGTAATAACAATGCTTTTTCTTGAATGTCTTCTGAAAGACCTGCCCGAGGCTGTTTTACAGATAACTTTTTTTTTACATATAAGTAGAAGGAATATATTCTAGAATAACAACAAAAAGTACAGTATAGTGAATGCTGGGCAATAGGAACTTTTCAGCTCCATCATAATCTTATGGGACCGTCATCAAGCTATTCGGTCTGTCATTGAAACGTCATTATGTGGTGCGTGACTGTATGTTGCCACAATTGCTCTATCTTTCTGTCTTTATATATTTATAGGTCTTTTTTTCCAGTTCATTTGAAAGTAAAAATAAGCTACAAACCTCATCTACCTCTCCCCTGACACCTCAGCAAGCATCTCGGAGGAATATGGACATTCTCCCAGATAACTGCAATACCACTGACACACCTTAGGAAGCTAACATTTATTCAGTATAATGATGCCATTTAATATGTGACTTACATGTCGATTTTACCCATTGTCCCAAAAATGCCTTCTAAAGCTCTTTAAAAAAAAAAAAAAATCCAAGATCCAATCAAGGTTCACGTGTTGCATTTGGTTATCACATCTCTCATCTCTTTTAATCTAGAGCAGGCCCCTGCCCTTTTCTTCTTCTCTTGACTTTGTCTTTTTGTGAATGTCCCACAGTCTAAATTTGTCTGATTGTTTCTTCATGATGAGATACAGGTTAAATATATGAACATCTGTGGGGGAGTCGTAGCTCACTGTAACCTCAAACTCCTGGGCTCAAGTGATCCTCCTGCCTCAGCCTCCTGAGTTGCTGGGACTACAGGCGTGCGCCACCATGCCTGGCTAATTTTTTAATTTATTTTTTTTGTAGAGACAGAGTCTTGCTATGTTGCCCAGCTGGGTGCCCTTGTATTGTGCCTTGTTAGAAGGTTCATGATGCCAGCTTGTCCCACTGTCCATGCTGGAATGGCTTCATGGAATTTTTGAAGGCATCCATTTTTAGATCCTGCTACTGTAATACCTGAAGGGGGGTTACTTTGGTGTGCAACCTGTGGTGACCCTGAGACCCCTCCATTAAGTGGCCTGAGGGTAGCCCAATCCATGTGATGTGGACAAGACAGCTGGATCGTAAGGGACAGCCCCAGTGGGCTGGCTCATTCACAAGGGTTGGGTTAGGAGACCTCTCGGTTGTTTAAATGTTTTTGTGGGGAACAACTACCTTAAAGGATGGGATTATAATTGTGCAAATATGCATGTCACACATCACTTATCTGTGCTGCGGGAAGGACGCTGAGAGAGACCTCCAGATGTTGTTAGGGCTGGGATAGTTCTAATTGCCATCCTGGCACTTTGTTGGAATTGAGATATCTACATTCCAGAAATAGCTTTGGGTTAGACTAGGAAAGAGGGAGTGTAGAATGTTGGCAAGACCATGGACCCCATGCTGGGGAAGGAAAGGACAGATTGGGAGGAAGTCAAGGTGAGGTCTCTGGCTGAGCCCTGGGCAGCAGCTGGCGCCTCTTAGGGACTGGGGAGCCCCAGAGCTGGGTGGCCTTGGAGGATGGGCTTTGTGGGCCCATTGCCACATCCCCAGGGCCTGGGGCCCAAGATGCGGAGACACACACCCAGCAGACCAGTGCTGCTTAAAGGAGAAGGCTGGGCTGAGGGCAAGGCACCAGGACATGCCAAGATACAGACCTGGCCAAGCCCTGGGAGGGGTGAGTGCTGTTTTCCTGGGAAGAAGAAGCCCAAAGTGAGAAGGGCTGGGGAAGGGGCCCGGGCCTGAGCCTCAGGTCTGCCTGCATTTAAGCGCAGGTTCCCCAGCAGCGATGCAACTCTTTTCCTAACTTTACTCATATACTGACAGTCCCTGACTTATGATGCCTCGACTCAGGATTTTTCGATTTTGTAATAGCGTGAAAGTGATAGGCATTCAGTCTGCTCCTCAGCTTACAAAGGGGCCATATCCAGATAAGCCCACTGTACTTTTGACTTATGATATTTTCAGTGCGCAACGGGTTTATTGGGACGTAACCCCATTGAAAGTCAAGGAGCATCTGTATATTCAATTTGGTGTGACTGGAAATATTGGTAACTAGTCTAACCTCACTGCTAAAGTTAATTAGGGTGAGGTTAATGTGGTAGTTTATGGCAAAAAGCCAATTTAAAGAATATGAAGTAGGCTGGGTGTGGTGGTTCATACCTGTAATTCTAGCACTCTGGGAGGCCGAGGCGGGAGGATCACTTGAGGTCAGGAGTTCGAGACCAGGCTGAGCAAGAGCAAGACCCCATCTGTACTAAAAGCAGAAGAATTAGCTGGGTGTGGTGGTGAGCACCTGTAGTCCAGCTACTCTGGAGGCTGAGGCAGGAGGATTGCTTGAGCACAGGAGTTTGAGGTTGCAGTGACTAAGCTGACGCCACAGCACTCTAGCCCAGGTGACAGAGAGAGACTCTATCTCAAAAAAAAAAAAAAAAAACAATGAATATGGAGTAAATAAGAGCATTAAGTATTCCAGGGATGTGGCAGGAATTGTGCAGGTGACAGGAGAGCAGCTAGTCTTGGGCAACAAAGATTAGAGGACGGGGAGGCCCATGGCAGCCTCTGGGGCAGGTTCCATGGCAGGCTATGGGCAGCCACTCCGCCGCTGCAGATTGGCGTCCACCTCCAGGGTGGCAGGATTTGCAGCGGTAGGGAGAGCAGCCAGCTGGGATCCAATGGGACCTTCTGAGAGATCTTTCAGGAGTTGCTTCGCCTGCCTTACCTGCCTCCTGTTCTCTCCTGGTCTTGCTCTGACTGTCCATGGGCCCTGGGCTGCAGCAGGTGGTGCAGGGCTGCAGGTGCATGTCCCGGGTGGGGCATGGGCCACCAACAGGCTTTGCAGGGTCCCCTCCCCAGCCCCCTTCACGGCTGCATCTGTCTCTTTCCTCCGCAGGGGGAGGGGTTGCACCAACTACGCGAGGCTTTGAAGATTTTAGCTGAGAGGGTTTTAATCTTGGAAACAATGATTGGGCTCTATGGTGAGTAGAGACAGACAGACGGACAGACAGCCCAGCCCCTGCCTGCTGGCCTTCCCCAAGCCCTCCTGGGGTAGAACTGGCCCGAGCCGTCATGAGGCTGCAGAAGGTGTGTCCCGGTCAAGTGTGGGCCTGACAGGCCATGACCACCCAGCCCTCTGACGGGTCCCCTCCTCCACAGGTACAGGGGTGCCCTAGAAACCCGGGCCCCACCGCTGCGGTCAGACCTTAGCCTCCAGGCATTGTGGGTAATATGGTTTCCAGGCCTGCAGGGAACCAGGGATGACAGATTTCGAGTTTGGAAAAAACTACAGACAATGGACCCAAACTCCAGACCAGCAGGGGATTATGGGTAACAGAGCCAGACTCTGGGCAGGGGATTGTGGGTAATGAAGTCAGAGCCTAGGCCCCCAGGAGGATTACGGGCAATGAACCTAGACTCTAGTCCAGCTTCAGCTCTAGAAAAATTGTGCGTAACAGAGTCAGTCATCAGGCCCACAGGACGGTAGGTCATGGAGCTAGACTCCAGAAGTGCAGGGGACTGTGGGTGACAGAGCCCAGTGCAGGCCCCAGGGGACCACGTGCTAGTTCTGACCCTCCTCCTCCATAAGCCCCCAGAGGCTCTCACAGGGCAGGCCCTCCTGGCCTCAGGTGTCCCCCTTGCAGTTCCCCCTTTGATCCTTCTAACCTGTCCCTTTGGGGGCCCAAGAGAGCCAGACCTGCACCCCAGGCATTCACCGAGCAATTCCCCACGCATCTGGTCACTTGAGGAGCCAGGCAAGTCCCCACCTTAGAGTGGAGACAGAGGTCGCCACAGAGACTCACAGCCAGGCTCCTGCCCTGAAGCCAGGGGGCACTGCCCTCCCATCCTCCCGCCTTGGCTCCCCCGCCCAGCCCTCGGAGGCCAGACTCGCACCGTCTGCTCTTCTCGATCTCCCATCAGGCTCCTAGCTTACAGAGCTTCCTGCAGCAGCAGGCTCAGCTGGAGCTCCTGGCCAGACGGGTCACCCTGCTGGAAGCCATCATCTGGCCAGGTAATGGCAGGGCGGGCAGGCAGGGGCAGCCCCTTCCAAGAAGGGCCTGGGAAGGGCCCAGGCATGTAGAGGGCGCCTTCCGATGCTTGGCCCAGGCCAGCGAACATTCATTCTTCATCCTTCCATACGTCCAGCGGATGGTGCCTGGCATAGAGAAGGCTCTAGTAACTAGTTCTCCAGTGAATGAGTACCTGCTCTGTGGCAGGCACCTCGCTGGCACGGGCTCCACCAGATCAGACAGATACAGCCCTGCCCTCATGGAGCTTAGGGGGCTGGGGGCTGGGGAGAGCCCTGGCACTGGCAGTGAAACCCAACGGGAGATATCCCACAGTGGAGTGACTACAGGCAGCCGTGGGAACACAGTAGTGCCTCTAGCCCAGGCCTCAGGGAGGTCGGAGGGGGTCTCAGGGAGGGCTTCCTGGAGGAGGTGATGTCTAAATGGAGACATCACTGAAGGGCAAGGATCTGGGGAGAGTTAACAGGCAGAGGAACAGCACGAGCAAGGGCCAAGAGACCAGAAAGAACGCAGGGGCTAGAGAATCTGGCTAGTTCTGACCCTCCTCCCCCGTAAGCCCCCAGAGGCTCTCACAGGGCAGGTGAGAAGGTGCTAGAAGGCAGGTTGGGTGGTACAGGAGATTAGACACCAGGTGGGCAGTACCTGTTCTGCACCTGGATCCTGGAGGTGAGGCAGAGGAAGCCTCTCCCCATTGAACTGGAACCTGTGGCTGGCCCTGGAGAGAGGAGGCGATTGGCTGCCGCAGGGGCTGGCTCCGTTCCTCCTCTGCCTACCCGCCCCATCTGACATCCCATCGAGCACATCAGTGCACAGAGGCCTCAACAATAGCACGTCCAACCTCGCATCTATTTTACAGGCTGGGAGACAGGTCCCAGGCGAGGAGGGGCAAGGTTAGAGCCAAGCCTCCTTCATTCAGCAAAACCCTAGGGCGTACCTACTGAATGCCAGGCCTGGGTGGCGATGGGGCCCTGGAGAGCAGATAGGTCCCTGCCTTGGGGAGCTGCCTGTCGAGTGGCAGGGAGTCCTCGCTATCTTTAGGGATAAGGGGTATGGGAGCAGCAGAGGATATGAGCGAGGAAGAGTCACTTCTCGCTGAGGGTTGGAGAAGACTCCTGGGAAGAGGGGATACTCGCATGGGGTCCTGGAAGACCCCTGCGAGGGGGCCAGGTAGAGGAGTAGGAAGGGCAGTCGTGACAGAGTCTCGCATGAGCAGAGGCCTAGAGGTTGGAAAATGTGTGGGGTCCAAGAGCCCCTCCCACCATGCCACGTGGCTTCTCCCACTTCTAGAAACATCAGCGACCATCTCCCAGACCTCCTTTCCTCTTACAGAGGGGGACCAAGGACCAAATCTTGGGCTCTCAGCAACTTTTAGGTCCCACCTGCTCTCTTAGGAGGATTGGAGCAGGAGCTAGAAGGGACATATTTGGGCCACTATGGCCCTGGATCTGTCCCTCTCTGCCTTCAGCCAGCTCTGTCTCTGACAGCCCAGGGAGGAAGTGCCAGGCAGCCGGGAATGTTCATGCCCACTGTCAGTGGCCACGAGCCTGGGAGAGCGGCCCCTTGAGCTTGGGTTGGGGCCTGGAGGGTGCAGGAGGGGAGGAACAGAGGAGATGGGACACCCCCAGTTGGCCCAGCATACACAGCAGGTGCTAACTAAAGACCCAGATAGGGTTTGTGTTTAGGTTATAACGAGTAACGACAATAATATTAACAGCTATGACATGTCTGGCCCAGCTGGGGGAGTTACTTTGGTCATCTCCAATCCTTATGATTAGCACACAAAGTGGGCAAAACCATGCCCATTTTACAGATGAAGAAACAGAGGCTCAGAGGGCTTGTGTGGCTCCCTCAGGGTCACAGGGATAGCAACAGTAAAGCCAGGGGTCCACCCTGGGTTTCTCCTCTCTTAAGCTCTGGCTCTTTTGGCTCCATCAGTAAAGGTGTGCTGCCACCGCCACTCAGCCAGGCACTACATGGGGCACGTGGGGCCCGGGGAAACCGAGGGCCCTGCGTTTGATCATGTCAGCGTACATCTCATGACCAACTCACAGTGACCAGACCTGCAGGAGACTCGGGTCAAAGCCACACCAGCCTAGGGGTCCAACTGCCCAAGGCTGCACAGTAGTGGTCAGTAGAGGTCAGTGGCAGGGCGTGGCCCTCCTGAGCCTGTTCCCCAACTGGCAGCCTCGCCCAAGTGAGTCTGTTCCCTCGCTCAGTTTATCCAGCTATGAAATGGGGTGATTCAGGGCACACCTCCACCCAAAAATAAGGACTAGATAAAAAGAACTGTACGTTTTATGGAGCATTCACTATGCTCAACATTTCACACACATGGTGGATCTGGTCATCCCAGCTTGACAAAGCAGGCATCAAATAGAGGCCCTGAGAGCTCTCATTGGGTTGCGGGGCTAAGTCCTGCAGGGGGGCACTCACCAGCCTGCAGACCCCCTTCTTTCCCACAGCTCTGCTCCCAGACAGCAGGGGGGACTGCACCCAGCAGAAGGTGCCCTGTGCTGCCACCCCCCAGAGGGCCAAGGGGATGTGGGCACCTCACATGGACCCCCTAACATGGCCTTTCTCCTTCTCCTTCCCTCCGGCAGAACCAGAGCTGGGGTCTGGGGGAGGCCCTGCTGGCACGGGGACCCCCAGCCTCCTTCGGGGCAAGAGGGGAGGACACACAGCCAACTACCGGATCGTGGCCTCCAGGAGCCGGAACGAGAGAGGCTGAGGGCGGTGGCGGCCCCTGGGATGGAACAGGCCAGGCTTCCCTTCCAAGCCTGGACTTAGCCAGCTGCCTCCAGGGACCGCCCGTCCATATTTATTAATGTCCTCAGGGTCCCTTCTGCCATCCAGGCCTTAGGGGTGGGCAGGTCTTGGTCCGGGCACCTCGCACATGTCTGAGGCTGAGCAGGGACCGGGGCCCGAGCTGGAGGGAGGAGGCGAGGCCAGGGTCTCGGTTTCCCTGTGTGAAAAGGGGTGACGCTGGCCTTCAAGGAGGGGTCAGAGGTACTGGACTTCCTGTCTTATCAGCTGAGCACCCAGGCCCAGAGGCACTGGGGAGTCGGGAGCCGGGAGCTAGAGCTCTGCCTGGCCCCCAGCACACGCAGGGATGACCAGAGGGGGTCGCCCTCCCTTTCCTCCCCAGCCGACCCGTGGGGACCCCCCTGCTACTCCATCCTGGTTTTCCAGTGCTGGGACCCCAACCCTGAGGTCAGGCTGCCTCATCTCTGGCTGGACTGTGGGGGCTCCTTGTCTCAGTTCTGCTCTGAGCCCCCAGCCCCTTCCCAGTGTTCCAGGTGGGGGGGGTGGGGACACGGAGAGGAAGGGGCCGCCTGCCCCCACCAGTGTTTGTGACAGACGCAGGAGGTAGCTGTGTACTGGCCAATAAAGGCCCCCCTCTGATCCTACCCAGCCTGGTCTCAGTGTGTGCTCAGATGGGGGCAGCAGGGAAGGGCCACCCAGGCTGACGCCTGATAGGTAGAAATTAGCTGGAAACAAGCAACAAGGAACACTCTGGAGACGCTGCTAGAGACGCAGCCTCCTGGAGGAAGTGGCTGCGCAGGGCAGGGCAGGGCAGGAACCCCATGTCTCCGGACATCAAGGGGCAGCTCTCCCGCGATCGTTCATTCATTGCTCGCTCATTCATTAATGCCAACACGAAGACTCAGACACAACTGCTGCCTCCAAGGAGGTCCAGGTTGAAAAACAAACTGACTTTTATTCTAAATAGTACCAGGGCAGCATGCTGGGGGGCCTCTACTGTCCCCAGGGGTGCCCCCATGCCCCCCGGTGGCCCTCAGTAGACCGAGTGGGGGCTCAGGCTACCAGCCTATGGGCCAGACCTATCACCCAAGGGCCTGGTGCTCCCACCTTCTGCCTGGGCTACGGGGGCCCAGGGCCCTCGGGGTGGGGGAGCCCACCTCTCCCATCGGTCACCAGAGCTTCTGTGCCCACCTGCCCTCCAACTAGCAGTGACACAGCACCCTCCACGCGGCCCGTGGCTGCCAGTGCCACCACTGCCTGCTCCGTGGGGAAGCCCATGCGCTCCAGCTGCTGTAGCCTATGGGGTGTTGCGGGGGAGAAGGAGGGAGTGTCAGGGCCACCTCCACCCTCCCACGCCTGAGGACCCCATCCCTGCCCACCCCGCCTTACCGCAGAGAGGAGACGGAGGACTTGGGCAGCCATAGTGGGCCCTGGGGCCCCTGGGCCGACCTGTCAAGGAGCGAGGCCTGGATCCCCTCCTGCAGCATCTGCTCATCCAGGGCCGCCCACAGCGGAGTCCCTGGGGCGAAGTTGGCCCAAGCCCAGGCCAGGCCTGCCTCTGAGGAGCCCTCCCTGGTCGGCTGCACAGGCCTCAGGCCCAGCGGGAGCGGGGCTGCGCTTTCGTTGTGGGACCAGAGGCCAGGGGAGGCCATGTAAGGAGGGCCAGGGACAGGAGACCTGGAAGAGCAGAAGCAGAAGAGGCCTAAGCGTGGCCCTGCCACAACATCCGCCACCCAGGCCAGTGTCCCCAGCGTCACCCTCACCTCACTCTGGCAGGATCCGTGAAAGGCAGCTCGGCCAGGCTGCCCGGGGTGGGAAAGAGCTTGAGCGGCCAGCACCCTGCCAGGGTCCTGCACAAGACGCCCTCCTGCAGCGCCTGCAGCCGCTGCTCCGACAGCTCCAGCCACCAGAAAGCCCCAGCGGCGTCTGTCTGCCCAGGGCAGGGCAGCCAGTCAAGGAAACCAAAACCAGCCAGGAATGGGCCCACACTGCATGCCAGCCCCGTGCCGGCCCAAGACAGACTGTTCCCCTGAAAGCCAGAGCGACTGCAGGAGCCAGCCTGTTCTCTTTGGCAGGATGTGTCCCCTGACAGGTATTAAGCATCTTGACAGTAAATGCCTGTGTTGAAGCCACTGTACCCCTGGCCACAGGCCACTGCCTCTTTGTTCCCAGGGAGCCCCTGCCTGCCCCTGGCCCTGACCTTTGCATCATCTGCCCCCTCTGCCCGGCCCACTCTCTTTTCACTTCTCTTCACCCGAACCCCTCCTCTTGCATGTCTCCGCTCAGATGCCACCTTCACAGGGTGAAGTGCCAGGTGACTGCCACCTCAGCCCTCCCAGGCTCCCCATGGAGCCCTTTAAATTGTAACTGGCACCTGCACCTGGCCATGAGCCCCAGTCCCCAGCCTAGAGCGTGGCTCAGAAGACGACTCAGAGGTGCTCCTGGCATGTGTGTGCACAGCGTCCTGGCATTGCTCAGGCCTGACCCCATTGTGCCACTTCCTTCCCAGGCACCCACAGAACCCACATGTCCCCACGGGCCTTGGGCTCAGGCAAAGGATACAGGCCAGGCCAGCAAGGAGGCCACATAGGAGCTGCAGGAAGGGTGGCTCGGAGCTGAGCAGCGGGGTCAGGGCGAGGAGCAGCCACGGCAGCAGCCACGGTGGCAGTGCCTCATGGGACCGTCTAGGGTGGTGACCCTGCCCAGCCAGCATGGCCAGGTGCACAGGCATGTACCCGCAGCCACCGGCTGCACTGGACACCCCAAGGCCTGCCAGCAGTACAGCCAGCAGGCCAGTGGCCAGGGTGAGCAGGGTGGAGGCGTGCAGGAACCGCAGTGTGCCCAGGTGGCACTCCTGTTGCCATCCGAGGGCAGGCAGGAGCAGCAGGCTCAGGAGCAGGCCAGGCAGAGCCGTGTGGCCCAGGGCATGGGTCAGTAGCCGGTACACTGGGAAAGAGAAGGGGCTCATGTGCCAGGTTCGTGGCCCCAACCTCCAAGGCTGGCCCCAGTGTGCCAGGCTGGGGGTTCCCCCACCAAGGCCAACCGCTGAGCCAGCCTCCCTTCCCCAGGAGCCAGTCCGCCTGCTGCCAGCACTTAACCGTTGGTAGAGGGGACTGAGGGCTGCCACACACTGGCTACTCCCCTGCTGCGTTAAACAGAACAAGCCTGACCCACCACTCAGTCTTCTCACTAGCACCCCACTGGTGAGCAACCACTGCGTCCCGGGCACCGTGAAGGTGCTTCACTCATGTATTTACTGAATCACACCCTGTTGACAACATGAGTTCTGATGAGACTGCCTGCTCCAATCTGCAGCCATCCCATTCCCCCAAGCTGTATGACCTTGGACAAATCACTTAACCTCTCTGAGCACCATTTGGGCTCCTCAAAGGTAAATTGGAGCTGTTGTTATTACTGGGAAACAGGTGCTCAGCTGGGGTCACTCCTTGAACCCAAACCTCTTCCCCATCCTCACACTTAGCTGAAAGTCTTAGGTCTTATTTCAAGGGAAAGTGGTCACAAAGGGAAGCTGTCAGAAAAGAACTCCTACCCGCAGGTTCCCGCACCCCCTTGCTGGCCCCTCTGCCCTCCCTTCTCGGCCGTGGGTGAGCTGGGCATGCTCCTGTCTAAGGCCAGCCTTCCCAGGGCACACATTGCTCCTGCCAACTGCTCTCAGGCCCTACAGCAAGTTCCTGCCTCCTCCAAGGCCCGTGTGGCTGCCCTCACCCTGCCAGGGGTCCAGCAGCAGCTCCGGGGCCAGGGCCAAGCTGGGGCCAGCCCCCACCAGCCACAGGCTGCTCAGCAACAGCATCATGACTGAGGAGGCGAGAGGCAGCGCTGGGGACAGCTGGCCAGGGGGCCCCTGGGCACACATAGCTTGGTTGAGGGTGGTCAAGGGTGGTCCTGGGGCCGGATGCTGGGAGTAAGGAAAACATAACAACAGTTATTAACATAGCATTATCTCATGGACACCCTCTCAACTACCTTACCAACAGCCCCATTTTACAGAGGTGGAAACTGAGGCTGGAGAGGCAGACCCAGCAGCCTGGCCATAGTGGAGCTCAGACCCTAACCCATGTGTTTATTAATCATCTTATTTTGCCTATGTGTGAGGGTGGGCAGGGGACAGGCACTAAGAGTTGAGTCCCAATAGGCCCTGAAGTGGGAAGTACAGGGCCAGGGATGTTGAACTGGGGCCATGGACTCCCGTAAACAGGGGTACAGCCCCTCAGGGCAAATTTAGTACCATCTCTAGCCCTTTTCTGCCTCCAGCTTCCCTCAGGCTACCACCTTCCTCCCTCTTCCCCTCCACTGTCTCCCTCTTCCCCTCCACTGTGCCCAGCCTTAGGGCTCCATATGGCCTCAGCTGCCCCTGATCAGGAGGGTGGGGCCGGCCAATGGGCAAGCAGATTGGGGAAGGGTTGGGGCAGAAAGGGTGGAGGAAGGGGAGCAGGAGTCCAACATCCTGAGCCATACTAAGTGACCTGGGACTGAGATGTCCCCTTCCTCCCCAGCCCTGAGCATAGCCCCTCTGGCCATAGCCCCCTTTGCACCAGAAGGTTCCAGTGTCCACTCCACCTCTTTCTGCTTTATGTCCCTGGGTATTTCCCAACCTCTAAGCCACTCTTTCCTCATCTGTAAAATGGGGATTAGGAAAATCCTTTCCTGGCCCAGCACAGTAGTTCACACCTGTAATCCCACCACTTTGGGAGGCCAAGGTAGAAGGATCACTTGAGGCCAGGAGTTCAAGACCAGCCTGGGCAACATAATGCCCAGCTGATCCCAGCTTTGGCCTTCAAACATGGCCATTCCCTACCCACAAAGCAAGGCTTTTTCTCCCCTGTGCTCCCCCTTTGCCTTGAGCCTGTCCTCCAGGCCCTACTGAACCCCTTCACCCCTGGTCATGCTTCTTTGTCCCAGGACTCCCACGGGGCTGATTCAAGGTAGGAAGCAAGATCCCAGAGAGACAAGAAGACTGCCTAATCTGCTCCCTTGCCAAGGGTACCCTCTGCATCTACCACTTTCCTGCAGGAAAAATGTGGAAAGCTCCCCTGCCTAAAATATCCTTTTCTCCATCTCTCCAACAGGCAAACTCCTACTCACCCTTTAAAGCCCAGCTCAAATGTCCCCTTCCCCTCCTCTGGCCCCCCACATCATGCATGGCTGTTATTCTATCCTGTCAGCACAGCTTGGCCTGTCTCCCTAGGCAAGTTGTCTGAGCTCATGAGGGGAAGCTCCTCTTAACTCATCCCTAAGTTCCCCAGGGCACTCCCAGCTTCGCATGTGTTCACTGAAAGAAAGACGTTGGCTTGGCTCCTGGGCCTGGCTGAGGGATTTGAGGGCGAGTCCTGCTCTTTCCTGGGCCTGGGCACCACCTAGGGGGCTGGGCTGAGGTTCAAGAAGGTGGGCAGGTGCCAGCCCTGCCTGGAAGCAGAGTCTGGGACCAAGGCAGACAAATCTGCCTCCTCCTGCAAGCCTCCTCCTACACCCTCACAACGGTTCCCCCGACCAGGCACTTTAGCAAGGGTGAAGGGCTTGGCCATGGACGCTCAGAATTGGGACTTGAACCCTCTGGACCTCAGTTTCTTTCACCTATAAAAGGAGGCTGTGCCCCGACAGGCCCTGCCTACCTTACTGAGAAGCCGGGAGGACAGAATGGGAAGACAGGGAAGATGCTTCCGGGTGATGGACAGAGTGGGGTTCCCAGGTCTGTCTGGGTCGAACTCAGCTTTGTGACTTTGGAAAGGTACTCAATTTCCTTGGCCTCAGTTTCCCTTTCTGTAGAAACAAAGGTAGGTATTGGGCGCTAGAAGATTAAAGGGCCTTCTCCACCCGACCGTTACTGGGGCGGGGGAGGTCTCGGGGCCGGCCACGTGTCCCGGTACTCACTGCGGAGCGCGACCCCCACCCCGGAGGGCCGGGCGGGGCTCCCGGCGGCGAGTCGGGCTTCGAGCTCCCGGCTCACACCCGGGAACCCCGAACCCATTCGGCACACACCTAGCCGCGTGACCCCGGCCGACTGCCCGGCGCGCCACCCCCTCCCCCGCCGCCTGCCGATTAGTCAGCAGTTGTTCTAGGCCCGAGTCCCTTCCCCCAGCCCTCCCGCCGGTCTCCGTGTCTCTCCAGGGCAGACTCTTCAGAGACGGTCCCTAGAGCCCGCGCACGTAACCATTCCCAACCACCTGGCCTCGTGCAGAGAACCGCTCCGGTTTGATACCGAGACCAGTTCTCGGCGCTCTGGCCCCTTAGGGGCTGTTTTGACCCTCGCGTCACATCTGGCGCTCTTTAGCGAGGATTGGGACAAGAGCTGCAGACGTGAAGAACTGGAAAGCAGTGGTTCATCCTTCCTTATTCCACCCCCGTGGCCTGGCCCGATGGTAGCGCCCGAGGTTGCGGGTTTTGCGCCTGCGCAGTGCGGCGCCTAGAGGGAAAGCGAGAGGGAGACGGACGTTGAGAGAACGAGGAGGAAGGAGAGAAAATGGCGTCCACGGGTGAGTGTGGTGCAACTGCGGTCGCGCTGGTGACAGCTTGGACGCCCAAACTAGGGGCCTCTTGTCTCTGGGGGTGGTCAGGGCGACTGAGAGGAGTTGCCGAGAGGGGTTAGAGGTACCCGCCGCGGCTCGACGAGCTCGAGGGCCCGCGTTCCCCTCCCCTCCCCCCACCGGGCGGGCCGGTTCTGGAACCTTCCTGCGCGCGGGGGGCTCGCGGCGGCGGGGGCTCGCGGGGCCTGCCTTGGCCTCCATTGTGTGGCGGTCGTCTGGCCCCGCGCTTCGGGCCGCCCGCCACGTGGGCGGGGCCTGCGGCCTCCGAGGCCCCGCGTGAGGACGGGGGGGGGTGGGATTCGGCCGGGCTTTGAGCCCGTCACCCCGAAACCGGCGGGGGAGCCCAGATGGCGGCTGGAGAAGCCGCGGGCCTGCTGCCCCTGTGGCGCTCCCCCGTTTTCAGGGAGGTGGCCCTTGCCCGAGAGCGACTTTCTCTCCTGGAGAAACCCGGGGGGAAAAGCAAATAAACAAAAAGGACATCGCAGATTTGTGAGCCGAGGGGCGCCGGCCTATGAGCTGGAGCCCCGTCATCCTTAAGGCCTGGTCGGCCGGGGCGTCCGGCGCTGCCGAGATGTGCCCTCGGCGGCTTCCAGCTCCAAGCCGGACGTTTTTTAGACAGAACGTGCTCCTGCCTTAAGGACCCCCCCCCCAGTTTACTGCCTCCTTGGGCTTCTCCGTTTTTATCGTTGTTAACCCCACCTCCTTCCCTCTCTAAAAAGCAATTAAAGTGGCTTCCCAGGGCCCTTTTTCAGCAGACGCCGAGGGATATCCGTTGTATAATAAGGCCAGCCTGGTTCGAGAGACCAGAAATCCTTCCAGAAAGAAATTTCTGGCCTCTTTGACCTAGGAGGAACAAAAGGCCGAGCCGGCATTTGAATTATGCTGAAGCAATGGTTTCGCACGTTTATTCGCCTGCGTTAGGCCGGCAGGCTTGTTTATTTCGGGGAGCTATAGAGGAGAGGGAAAGGGGGCGAGTAGTGGACTTGAAAGAAAGCCGCGGTGGGAACTCTAGAATGTGGTGGATAGGGTGGGCCTTGCTGCAAGGAGTGTTGGAAGAGTGTTAGCCTAGCCATCACCTGCAGCTTGTAGCCCGTTAGTACACTAACCCACGGTTGTTAGGGTGGAGCATTTTTGCCTGGAGGGGGTGGGTATTAGGCACCTGACTCCAGGCCTTAGAGATGGTGAGAGAAGATGAGAGGGAAGACAGCAAAAGATCTGGATCCTTCAGAGTTTTGATTTGGAAAGAGTGCAGAATCAAGAGACTTAGGACAATTTAAAAGCTCCCCTCGACTGTGTGGTCAGTAAACACGTTAAGTGTTGGCTGTGCGGTCCAGGGTATTCAGGAGTGCCCCTAGAAATAACCAGTCTAAAACATCTTGGTGGGAGATGGTTTTCAGGGTGCCTTTCCTACCCTCCTCTCCCTTGCTAAAGCTTGAGAAGGCAAAACATGTACGTTGAAATTTTTGCGTGGCTGGTGACACCTTTTTTCAGTTGACTGTGTTCAAACCTTGTTTACCAGTAAACACCATGTATTATAGAATTGCAATTGTGGTTGATGTAGACACATAGTATTTATTAGGGCTGGCCTGGGGGATCTTTGGGGAGTCACATAACTTATCTGGACCTTAGTTTCCATTCCTACAAAATGTAGGCGTTAACCTAGACGTTTTTAAAAGCTTTTTGAGTCCTTCTGACCTTACAGCAAAGCATTTTGCCCTTCCATAAAGTTGCCCCGTGCTAACTCATGTAGTCTGAAGCTCTAAATCTCTGCAGCTTGGATAAAGTATCTAAGCTCCTACCTTGAGTAATAGTAGGTGTTTCTGCCATGTGTATCTCATAGAAAAGCATCTAAAGAATATGTCCAGTTTAACAAAGAATTAAAACACAAACTCCCAAGTAACCATTCAGACCAAGAAATAGAACATTGCCAGCACTCTAGAGATTCCCCCAGGTCCTCTAGAGGTTCCCCCAGGTCCTCAACCTGTGCTGTATTTTTAGTGAAATTTTCAACTGCACATTTGGGGATTAAAAACACACACTGTTCTAAATAATCTGACTAGTGTGTAAAGGTAGCATGTTTGAGGCCCTATGATGTTTGTGTGCTCTAAGAAGATAAGTTCTCATGAAACAAGTTTGCTACTTCCCTTAGCCCACCAGTGTAGGGGCAAATCCTCTGGTTTCACACTGATAGGAGGTCATTAGTTGTTCCATATCAGCTTCCCCAATTTTATGTTTGACATAAGTGCTCTTGGGTAAAGTCTTCTTGCAAACATTTAACTTACATGTCAGTGATTCGGGATCGTTTCTCATGCAAAGACCTCAGTAAAATGTAGGTTGAAATATTTGGTTTCTGATGCTTCCATTGGTGTGTTTATTTTGTGTATGCCACATGGAAGAAATTATTTGCATTTAATTTTTATGTGCCACATAGAGAGTATGACTTGTACTACTGAAAATGCTTTAAGATTGTCTTGAACAGAAGAATTTGTTCATTGTAGATAGCATTTGGGCAGTCGATTTGGTAATGTTGATGATTCAGGGTTTTGAGTTAAGAGTGTATGTACAGAGAAAGGAAAGTCCACGGAAGCGTAGAAACATAGAAAAATAAGCTAACATAAAGAGGTGGAGCAGGGATATTATGAAGCTAATTTTGGATTGCATGGAGTGGGGTAGAACCCCTCCATGAGGAACTGAAATGTCAACTGTTGCTTTTGGATGAAGGACCACTTTCTGATTGGAAAAGAAAGGACACGTTTGTTCGGTCCTAAAGGCAATACTGTCTTCAAACATAGAACAAGATATGTATTCTTGTGGAAAGGAAAGAATTGAGCAGAAGTTTTAAAAACAATTACTTTAACTGCCTTTAAGAAACTAAGCTTATGTGACTTTAATTTGGTAGTGCTGTGAAAACTTAACTATTTTATTTTCTGTTTGTTTCCACTACTTGTAGACAATCTCAGTGGACCAGAATTTTTTAGTTCCTTTTGATACATGTTGTAAATTTCATGGAAAATTATAGGAAGGTTTACTTGGAGAGGGAAGAAAATTTGTGGTATTTTTTTGAAAAAGTTAAAGTCACTTTGACTGTTAAGAAATAAGATGGTATTACCTGAAAACAAATTATTCCCAGAAAGAGCTTTCTCCTTTGCCAATTTTCGGGATTGTGTCTTAACTCTGCCTTGCCAGGATTTTGTAATATATCTAGCATTCGAATTATTGTGCAGATGTAGCTCTGACACAGTCAGCAAATGCTTTAAAACACTGGATTATGATGGTTGTCCTCTTGTTTTCTGCCATTCCATTTCACTGTCATTGTACTAGGGAATTATAGTGGGTCTAACTTGCTAAAGTGAGGGTAGTGTTAGAAAAACTAGTTTTTGGAGAGAGGTGGCTACTAATGTAACCAGTCTGAGGATAAACATTGTAATTGCATGTCTTTTTATATGAAGGTAAAAACTTGTGATCCTGTTAATGGGTCCTATTCTCAGGCTGAGGTGATATGATGATCACGTATTTGAAATGACAGCCTGCGGTTGAAAGGGGGGTTTGTGGTTGTGGGAACATGTACGGTATCTCTGCCACATCAGCTGACCTCATTAGCTAGCACCTTATTCAAACTTTCTGAATTTAACTGGCTTAGACTTATTTTTTGGTTTGGTGTTGAGAGATGAGAGGGACTCATTTGGACCTGTGTTGGCCTTTAGGTCTCCTCTAAACAGTTTACAGAATTCTTTCTGCCACCTGAATTCTTTCCCTCTCTTTCCCATTTCCTTCTGTTAACTTCACACTATTTTCTCTCCTTGTTTTTCTCTAGATTACAGTACCTACAGCCAAGCTGCAGCTCAGCAGGGGTAAGTGAGTCTTTTACACAGTATTCTGTCTGTGGTAGTGTGTGTAGAGTATGGAGCTTCCTGTACTTGTGGAGAATATAGTAATGGTATTTGAATGTTAGGTGTTCAGTTCTCACATTTAATTCTTTTGCAGCTACAGCGCTTACACCGCCCAGCCCACTCAAGGATATGCACAGACCACCCAGGTAATCTTTAAGATAATTATATGTAGCTGCATCTCCAAGTAAAATACTTCTATCAGCCATTAAAACAATAGCTAGCACAGATCTTTTTCAAAAATTAGGTAATAGAAAAGTGAAATAGTAATGTAATCATAAAAAACCCAGGTATCCTAAACTGTCACAGTGGGATTGCAAAGGACTTCATTGCACAGTGATCTGAAGTCTTTGTGTCATGCAAAAAAATCTGGTTTTCAAAATTGACAGATTTTAGCCGCATCTTCATTTTTTCTCTTTGTTCATTTTGTTTTCCTAACATTTGTTTCCAGCTGCCAATTAGCCTCTCTATAACTTTCTAGTATCCATCATTTCTAAAGTTAGGTGCCTTGTTCCATGCTTAGTCCTTCTACATGTTCTATTTATTTAAGTTAATCACAGCAGTTCTGCAAAGGAAGAAGATGATAAGATCATTATGCAGATGAGGAAATTACAGTGCATAGGTATTACGTGGCTTGC